GTAACCACCGGTGCACAACAACGTAACCCGTGGCTACGTGTGCGACCGAGGACGCCCGTCACTGCTCGACGAAAAGAATCGGAGGCGCACGCCATTTCGATATTAATATTCCATCCTGAAACGTGATAAATCACCGAAGGATACGTCGTTCATCCCCCGGTGGCGACCTCGCAGACGTTCTCGCGTTACCCCGCGCAAGGTCATCCCGAATCCTTACTCGGTCGTGATTCGGCGAAGCAAAGGGATATTCTGGTTTTTCGAAAGGCTCGCCGATATTTCGAGTAGCAGCTCGGCATTCGGACAAATCGCGGATCGAGACAAAGGTCGGTGATCGAGGTGGCTAGTCATTTCTCGTGAGAAACGTTTCGGCTAGTAGACGAAAGTTGGCCTACGAGAGATCGATCGAGAAGCGGTCGAACCGCGGGGGTTTCGACGGAATTCATCGGCGTGCTTTACGCGAGAGACACTCGATCTTCCGTCGGCTCCGCTTCTCTCACGGCACTCGAGGCTAACGCGTATCGGTCAGCCGGGTGAAAAAAGAGCAGAACCTCGAGCGTTGTTGGCCCCCCAACAGCGCGATCGAATAAAAATGTGCGCCGAGGACGTCTACGTAGAACGACGCGGTGCCGCGCGCGAACCGCGGGAATTTCAACCCCTGCTGCGAGCCTCTAGCCGACTCTAGCGGGCTCGCGAACCCGATCCTGGGCACACCCTTCGTTCACAGGGTATTTCTGTAGTGGCAGAGCCACACGCAAAGTGCCACGCGTTCTATATATGCGACCGTTCGCTTCGCTAGAGTTTAAAGGTCGCTAACGCGGCTGCCGCGTAAATTCTTGCTCGGAGGTCCACCAAACGATCTAACTTCTCTTATGCTCGCATCTGTCTACTCGAAATCCTTTCGCTTCGACCGGAAAGATTATTGCCGCACTTGCCACCGTAGGGCACGATCGCAAAGCCTATTTTCTCGCGAGTCTTCTTCGTCGACGATTCAAAAGCTATTTAGTTAATCTGTACAATAGAATTGCATTAGTTTTGCAGCTTATCGCCTTGCCGAAGGTGATAATATTCTTGACCGAGAAGAGCGTAATAGCGTAATTTGACGTAGGTCCTTGGCTATCTCCCCCGAAGCGTCTATCGATAAATAAAAGGCGAGAGAAACGCGTGGAGCTACCGAAAACGAGCTTCTCCCGAGCAAGAACCTCGGTTACTTCAGGGCCGAAGACTCGACACGCTCTTCGAGCAAGGAATACCGAAATCAAATCTAAATGAAAGATCAGAGATGCTCGATGGGGGCCGAAAGGGTGAAGAAGGAGCGCGCCTTTTTCGATGTTTTACGGACTCCCGAGAGAAAGAGAGAGAGCCGGAAGGATCGAGGGAAAGGGCTATCTCTGGCGGATCTCAATCTAAAAACTCCGAACATATTTTCTCGAGTTTAGAGCTCGGGTCTGAATCTCGTCGGTCCCCGTGGAATCTCCGTCTCTGCCTGTCCGTCTTTCTTCTTTCAACCTTTTCATCCGTTCCCCTCCTTTTCTCGGTCTCTTCTACCTGTTCGTCGAGATCAAAGGGAGCCGACGCCGACAGTTTGGTCCGTGGGGTGTCATGCGAGACGCGGGGTGGGAACCCATCGGGTGAAAGAGAAGAGAGAAAGCTATTTGGTACCATATTCATTAATGTCTTTCGCGTACGGCCGCTGGGGGTATTCGAAAACGGGAGGCGGGTATCCGTGATCGCGAGGACCTACCTGCCGCGCTCGACCATCGATTCTTGGAAAGAGTATCGTTCACGAAACCGTGTCGATTAATCACGATTATTTTTCTTGCATCCTCGTTTTCCTTCGAATTCGTATCGGTAAACGCAGGAAAGTTACGACAGAACAACCTGTAACCAATAAGGAAAACCAGTTCTCGTACGAGTTGAATCGTTGAACACCTACTAACGGGACGCTTTAGTCATTTTAAGAAAAGAGGAAAGAAAAAGGAAATGCAGCGTCGCATCAGGAAAAGTTGGACAGGAAACTCGAGAAAAATCTGGCCGATAAGATCGGTCGACGGACCGAAACGAGTGGTTGATCATCTTCGAGTTAAGATTAAGAGACAATGGTGGTCGTGTTCCTCGGGAAATCCTCCATGTTTTTTATCTTTTTCGTTTCTTTAATGTCTATCTTCTGTCTGGCATCTGCCATGTCGCCACGAGACTATCGTTCGCTTCCCATTCTTCGACCCCTTATTATTATGCCGACCCTCTCTAATGCTTCTTTGATCGTTCTTTAATCTTTTCTTGGAGCGCAGTTGTTTCAGATCATCCGCGTTTACAATATGGCCGTCTTATCCACGCGCGTTAATTAATACCGTTAATTAATACCGAGTGTGTGTAAGAACGATTTATCTCGGACACGTTTCTTTCGCGAACAAATGAAATAATTGCGGTAAACGCGGAGGGATTGAGAGCTGAATCGATCGATAACATCGCGCATAGATAACGTCGAAAAAACCGAACGTTTCAATCTATTTGTGAGAATACCCCCTCGACCTTCTTATCGAAACTCGTTTATAGATGTGACGATTCTCACGTACAACGATTACATTTCTTCGCTCTCAAATAAGGAGACCTTCGGGCAAGATTAGCGACAACGGTTTCTTGATCTAAACGCTGGTTCTCCTAAGCTTTCCATTAATTAAATTCAACAATATTAAATACCTTAGAATCGAGTTTAAATCTTGTGCGAACCTGTAGAAAGCGATCGCAAGAAAGACAGTGTCGCTTTATATTTATTTTTTTGCTATATTTATCTGGATTATAAAAGTAATCTTTCCGATTGTACGAGTGTTACCAGCTATCATAACGATATTTTTGTATAGCTCGATCCGATAACGAAGCAAAAAGTTTGAATGCAGATCGACGATCGAAGAAACAGAGCGAGATAAGAAAAGAGAAGAATTGGTTTGATCGCGAGTCGAGAACCACTGGCTACCGATAGCAACAGGTGAATCTTGATTTCAGGTCGAGAGCTTGTTTATTGCGCGCACCAGACAAACGAATTCAGACTCGTGACCAGATTAGATTGCCGTTCGATTAGCACCCCGGTGATGAAACGTCGATCGCCTGCCGTCGATAATCGTTCCGGGAAGTCTCTTTTTCTTTTTTCGATAGCCGATCGACAAAATGTCTGTCAACGAAAACGCTTCTTTCGGTTTTCTCGCGTTTAGCACGAAATTATTAATCGCGAATAAGCCAGTTGTTAATATTTGTTCGAACGTTATTGAAATAGCGAAGGCCCCCTCTGATCTCGGAGAAAGAAGCCATCTTCTCTCCTTCGCGCAAGTATTATTTGCTTTATGTCAAGCAGACGCGACGATTCTCGCAATCGTAACCTTGACATTGTAGGCTACAGCCGTTCGAGCGTCGAGAGCTTAACAGAGAATATTCGTTGATAGCGTAGATAACGTAACGAATCATTAGCGCTCGCGTAATAAACCAGAAGGTGTTCCGAGTTCAAATTCCGATCCTCAATCGAACGCTTTTGCCTATAATTTCCTCGTTGCGTTCTTCGATTTCTTATCGTCTGTATTCAGCCATTTGCGATTTATGCATAGCCAATAAACGACCATAATTGTCAGGCTAAGCCGTGCTATTAGCTAGCAATCGTTCGAGTCTTAAGGTCTGAGGAGAAAATATTTGCCGACAACTTGGCTAGAGGATTTACGTTGGAGCTAGTCGAAGAAAATGATACTATTCGCGAGACGGAAAGCCAGCTTCTGGAATGCCGATACACGTCGATTCATCGATTAAACGATTCAACGAACGACGGTCTTCTGCATGCGAACTTCCTCGGGCGACGATCAAACGCGCCAGAGGGTTCAAATATAAATTCAAGGACGAACGATCAACGAAATCACTGGATCGAGAGTCCCGAACCTATCGTTTCGAACGGCTTAAACCGTCAGCCGCGTTTTCTGTTGATTTCGTTCCGATCTTCGTCCGCTGGAAAGTTTGTTCGCGACATCGAACAATTTGCGGAGGCGACTTAACTTGGACAAGGCGAGTCTGGACAAACATTATTTTAAACGGTCGAATCTAAATTCGGCAGCGACGGGGGGCCCACCCACGACGGCCGTTTCGTCTCGGCAAAGAAATTACCCGTGCCGTATCCCTCTGTTGACTCGACTCGCGAGTATCCATTCGCGCCAACTCGCTAATGCGAGCGCGATAACGTGGCTGACTTCTCGAAGATACGCAGGACTTTGTTCTCGCTCGTTCAGGCACATCGGTCGAAGAACGAAGTACGAAGAACGAGGGGCAGCGAGACACGCGGATAAACACGTTCTACGTTTCGAACACCCTGAATTCGACGCGTCACGATACTCGCCAGGGGGTAACCGATCGTATCCGATGTCCATCGCGATCCGTTGCTTGCTCTTTTTCTCGTTCCGGATAACGACACCGTATCGTCGATCTTCGTCTCGAGTACAGGTCGACTCAGAAGCCGCTACCGGCCTTTAAAACCGACGCTGAGTGGTTATTTGAATAATCGAGACGGCGTGACGCGTCCACGCCTTAACTACCTGCTGTTGTCTGGCTTACCGATAAGTAGTATATCGGCATGTGAACTTAATTATCGTGAAGCGACGAGAAAATGAAATTAGAGGTTACGTATTCCATCGTTTGCATCAATGTACGAAAGTCTCGTTCCTGGATCTTTGTACTTAAGGTCGTGCGAAGATCACTGAATCTTAACCCTTATATCGCTCCGATAAAAATGAGTAATTTCGTCCAAAGAAGAAACATCGATCGCCCCGAAATTATTCGAAATATTCCAGGTATTCGAGTTAGGTAGGACGATCCAAATACAAAATATAAAAGTTTTTGCGCGTCAAAATGACTGGCTGGTTGATAAAGGCGCGTTCTTCCAGTACGTGTACTTGGTACGAAAGTAAATCGACGAGTCGTTGGTAAACTTACGATCGACGTAGGATGTTCGTTGCACGTGCGGGAAACCCGTTGCTCGCGCTTATCGTGCGCCAGCCAGATGACCGCGTTTGAATCAGCCGATAAAATCGTGTCTCGATCGCGAATCGTTCGCGTCGGGTGACGTATCCGCGGCAACGAGGAGCCACGCGATTACCAGCGACCGTTATCGTCGCGCCGATGTATTTGTGAGAGGATGGCGAGGGACGTGGGACGTTTATCGGCGACGATAGCGCGGCTATATATAAGGCCGGTCGGTTCGTCGTTGACATTAGTTCAAGCTGATGTTCGGTGCGACCATACCGCGACACGGTGGCTCTTCTTTCGTTCTTTTCCCGTCGACTCTTCTTTCCGTCCAGCCGAATGCTCGTCTTCGCGGGAGAATCGAGCAGACAGCGATCGAGATAGACGTCATACCTACGCCTGTCCCGTTGGGGGTCAACCTCGCGATTCGATAGGAGATCTCGGCACGACGATAAGGGGCTAACGACCATCCAGCATCCACCGAAGGACGACGAGATACGAAAGCGGAAAGATGGACGCGGTGTTATTGTTCTAGCGTTGGAGCAACATCCTTCTCGACGTAGAGATAGGAGCGATTATCTGGTCTTTCCCGGAGGACCTAGGCGGAAACCGGAGCGGAACCGCGGTGCAGAACCGCGGACGAGGATACGAGTGTTCGCGTTTCATGAATTTATCGTCGCGGCCCAGCCTAGTTATGTTCTCGATCGAGTACAGCGAGCAATTCCTGAGCTACCGTATACTCAAGTCGAACCGGTTCAAGTACATCTGACGATACGGACTCGGACTAAGTGCGATTAAAGGGTGCGTCCTAACAGCGGCGAGAGTGTGTACGCGAGCGTACTGTGCCGGTGCTCGACTTGTCGTTGCTACGGTCTGCTCAGGGAAACAAAGGGAAGAAAAGGTGCTCGCCACGAGCAGGCAAGACCTGGAAAGTCTTGTTCACCGTGAACACCGGATGCGCGAGTCGTTTCCTGCCACGATTCCAGGAAGCGACAGGTGCCTCCGACGCTCCGACGACGAGTTATAAGATCGAGCGAGGATTCGAATCGATAGGCGAACACCGCGAATGACACCAAATTCCTGCTAGAGAGAGAACATCCCGAAAGGATATAGGCTAGTTTTCCGGCAAACACGAAGGCACGCGAAATTGCTCGACAAAATTTCTTCCTCGATTCCGAGGAGTACGAAACAATCGAATAACGCGTCTCTGGTCGAATTGGTATCTCGTAATTGTTAAAAAGATAAAAAGAAGCAAAAATCAGGGGAATTAAAAATGATCGTTTACGTACCGGGTAGAATGCCAAACCACGTTGGTCCTTACGGAGGCGCTCGTTACCCGGGCACCCTGCTAGGAGCAGCAGTCCCGGATTTTTACAGCCCGGTTATTTCCGGTTGTCCGATCAGCCCTAACTCCAGCTACTACGGCAGCCTCGGCCTTCGTCAGCAAACGTCGCTGGACCTTCCGGTTTGGCCGCGAAGGATGCCGGTCGAGGACGAATTGGGAACGTCCCCGTCGGCCACGTTGCCAAGATTGGGAGCATCGCCGAACAGCCTGGCGAACACCGGTCCTCCGAGTCCGGTGCACAGCGACTCGGACGCCTCCAGCTCGAGTTTGGAGCTTGGTTCCATCCGTCGCGGAGAAAACGCCCAGTTGAAATGCAGGTAATTTTTCACTCCTCCTATTTTCAGTTTGCTCATCAGAATGGTGATGCTTCTTATAGGTTTCTGGCTTGCGAACTCGCTTGTCGATTCGGATACTCTGAAAATTTTCGGAACATATGGTAATTCGCTCGTCAACATTCTTCGGGATTTCGAGACGAATTAGGGATTTAGAGCATACTCGCTTGCAACTGAATGTTCAGCTTTTGATGAACAAGCCAAATGAACATAGCATTGTTGACAACATTTTCGACAGATGGCGTTTACGACGCTTCTCAAAACTTTTGGAGTCAATGTAGTTTTCGTGACGCAAGCTATCGCCCTTAATATAAGCAATTTAAAGACACGTTATCGATTGAAAAGGATAAGTTAACGCGTTTACAGTTCCAAAGGTTTTTTCCTTCCGTTATAACAGAAAATGTAATGGATCCTCGGTATTCGGATATTATTTATTCTTGTTTGCTTTAAAAATTTTACGTTAATTTTATCGTTTACCGACTCAAGTATAGAAGATAAGATTATGGCAAAAATAATATTTGAAAAAGATCTGTGGAAACATTTACAAGAGTCAGAGAAATAACCGATAGATGGATCATCGCGATTAGACAGTAATAATCTAAACGTGACTGACGTCAACGAACCAAGAATTCAGTGTCTTAAACTTTTAATGAGTTATTTTTCAACAAGCAAGTTGATTTTCTTTTTATCGATTGCGCGAAAAGTTCTTTCTATAATTGATAAATGATTCGCAACGGATTAAGTGATTTTATCGACGCGTATAGGATTTACTCGATAACTTTATACGCTTCCAACCCCCGTTGCAATTCGAGATAATAGATGATTCAAAGAACGACAATCGAACGATAAATTTTCCAACCTTTTATCGCGTCTTAATCACGAAGCTTCCAGACTTTCATTACCAGCCTACCACGGCGTTAATTTCGCGTTTGCTCGTTGCAAATACCGGCGCCATCGTTATCTAAATTGAACGTGGATTTGTTCCCATCGTGTCTGGAATAGTTGCGAGGCGTACTTCGATGATCCCGTATCTCCTTATCAGAGAACAAGCGACTTAATCGCGAAATACTTTATTTTCGTCCTCTAACTTCCTAGTCACTCGCTCCCAGTTCTTTAATTATCTGGATTTTGCCTAATTATCGCTTCATCGCTTTTGCGTCTCACTGAGAACGCTGCGGTCTCGTTTCCGCGCGAACTCTCGTCTTAACATAGAAAGAGTTATAATGCGTCTAATTTCGTATCGCTTTATTTATAATTATAACATTGTAACGATAAGAAAGTATTGCGCGAAATTAAAATATCGCCTGAACATTTGCTCGTACGATAACTTTGTTTTCTTTTAGAAGAATTTTTAAGGCGGGCTAGCAACTAAACGCGGAAGATATCTCGCTAAAGATCTATACCAGACGGCGTTAAACAGCGCTAATTTATCCTCGAGGCGTGTGTCCGCGTTCGTAGCACGCGTGTCCCATTTCGGCTCTAACCAGTTTCCCGTATCTGTCGCGCTATCGACGTACACTTTGCTCTGTTTAGAATCCCAATATGTAAATATTCTTCGAATCTCGATGCGGCACTGAAGCTCCAACCTCGCGCGTTTCCACTTTTCAACCAAAGTCCGATTCTACCAAGGGACAATATCGTCTTCCCTTCGTCGTCTTTCTAATTCCGCGCATAAAAGAGGTATACGTATATGTACGTACGCTGAAAAAAAGAAACTTCGTCCAGCATGTCCAACTGTTTACTATACCGGAAAGAAAGTCACGTATCGATAACCTCTATAAAAGTGATAACCGAGTGGAACCGTCATCGCATTCGCGGACCTCATGTCCCGTTTCGTCGACAATTTCGGCACGACCGTGTAACGTCATCGCAAAGAAACGATCGTTTATCGCGCGTCCCCGTGGCAGAAGCTTGCTACGTGTACGGTTTGCATGTGGTAACCTCGTGCACTCGGGAAATGCTCGTTATCGTCGCAGGGAACCGACGGAATAATCGCGTCTTTTCGTTTTCCTCGTATTGCGATAACGACGAAAACGTGCTGATCATGAACGAACATTATTGTAACGAAAAAAAGAAAACGCACGTGTTAAATATACGTATGTACAAAGGTATTTGACGAGTAAGCTATTCAACGCTAAATTTGTTTTCTACTATGCAATTAAGGGGTCTCTATACAACGTCACCTGAATCGACGTTGTTCAATATGATTCGATGCGACGTTTCTTATACGTTTCTTTACTCGCGAGTGAAAACGTTATGCAGTATTCGGTAATAAAAGTTTTGATAATCGAGATATTAATATAATGCGCTTGCGTCACCAGCTTAATATTACCCAAATATATTTTTCCATATATCCCATTGAACAGTCCGGAGTAACTGACACGTCACCTTGATCCACAACCTTTATTTCGCACAATCGCGTTAAGGCATCTCGGTTCTTGGAACACGACGGTGCTGACTGGAACAGTATCAAACCCTGTACATCCAGATAAACTGGTGTCAAGCGACGCCAATTGCACAATGGCTAGAATTGGTATCAATTGGTAGGTTGAACGGACATACTCTTTTGACGTAAATCGTGCGTCGATATTTCAGGCGATCTGGAGCAATCGATTCAAACTTCCATGGTGTTCGTACAGGAATTTTGGTACCTCGCGGTAGCGCGTTGTTCGATCCGTTGTAAACTTGAAAATTTGAAAACGACCGGAGTCAGTGTCACGATAAACGAATGAAACTTCTTAAAGATTCTGTGATGTACACAAAGTTATAAATCGTTCGCGTGGGTTATATTTAGAAATTCTAAATAAATTAGCGATAGAGAAACTCGATAGTATAAATAGCCACAAGGAATGTGGGACTCTAGATGTGGTCTTAAACGACAATAATCTCGTGCGAAGGAGATTCGATCGATTAAAGCGATCAAAGATCAATAAGCTGTCTATGTGAGTGCGACTATTTTAGTACACGAATGTAAACTTTGAATATCTTGACAATCATTCTGCATATGGAGCTTCGACATTTTAATCTTTGCATAATTAATGCGAAGAAATACTTCATTATCGTTAATTTAAATGAAAAGCGTGAACGCGATCACGCGTTTTCCGATTGAAAACATATAAAAAGAGAATGCAGGGGAATGATGGTCGTTAATTAAAAGCTAACGCATACATTCGTTTGCAATTACAGATGGCAAAATTGTGGTCGGTGGTTCACGTCCTTGGAACAACTAGCAGGACACGTTGCGCGACTCCACGCTGCGCCAGGACCACGTGGACTGTTTTATTGCGGCTGGGAAGGATGCGCGAGGGGCGAGCGTGGATTTAATGCGAGGTAAAGAACATCTTTTTTTATCTTATGTTCCTTCAAATAGCTCCTTAACGAATTCTTCGTTAACGATCTTCGTAACTATCCTCTGACGTTTAAGATTAATTGATTTGCGATGAATGCCATATAACCGTATCATACAAACGTACGACTGTAAGTTCAATTTATTTATGTAACACTTCCTCGGCTACTTCGACGCGTTAAGCATTATTTTTAATACGAATTAATTATTAATAAAAAAGTTAATCGATGTTAATTATAATAAATCATTCATTAAGGTTTACGTAGTCATCTATCTAAAGTTTGTAAGATAAATCGAAATAAATACATTAATGTGCATTACCTTTGTCGTAACGCTGACGCGTTACACACGAGTATGCGTTATCGCACAGTTTCGATTATGCGTACGTTCAATGAATCGACGTAATTCATTATGTTTCGTTATGTTGAATGTTACGAATGTTGTTTCTTACCAGGTTCTGCTTTCTCCCGTTGCAGATACAAGATGTTGGTCCACGTGCGAACACACACGAACGAGAAACCGCATCACTGTTTCCAATGCGACAAGAGTTTCAGCAGAGCGGAGAACCTGAAGATCCACGCCCGTTCTCATACGGGTGAACGTCCATACGTTTGCCCGGTCGAAGGCTGTAACAAGGCGTACTCGAACTCCTCGGACAGGTTCAAGCATACCAGAACTCACGCGGTGGATAAACCGTATTGCTGTAAAGTACCGGGATGCCCCAAGAGGTATACCGACCCGTCCTCCCTGCGCAAACACGTCAAGACGTACAGGCATTATGTGAACAACAACGACAAGGTCCAAGAGAAAAGTTTCGACGAGAACAACTCTCAGGAAAAGATCAGATTGGTTGACAGCACGTCGCCGGAAAAGCAGAGCAGTAGCACTCCGTCCGAGTCCGAAAAGAAAGACAGCAGCATCGAGAGCAGCGTGTCGGGATCTAGTCCCAAGGCGAGCAACAGCTTCGAGGAGCAGAGGAGCTTCGTCGAGTGGAACAACATGTATAATCTCCAAGAGCAACGCAAAGAACAGGAACAGGTCACGCCCGTAAAAGTTTACGAACAAGAGATGAAGATCTATCCGAGGATCTACGACGAGAACAGTTACATAATACCGGAGAAGATTCAAGTGAATCCCATGTACGTTTCCAACAATCCGGTCATCAAGGAAAGTCCTATGGTGCAGTCGCCTCAGACGAGTCCGCGTCGCGTTCCCGACGTTCTGCCGTGTATCGGAATGCAGTCGACTCCCATCAAAACCGAGGAACCTATGGAGTGCACGAACAAAGTCAGTACGGTCGACTACCGAAACATCGAGTCGATCATCAGCGGTACACCCTGCAAGAAAGAGAACACGATAGTTTGCGACCCGGTGAGAAATTCTGTGATAAAACGAGCGGACGACTTAAAAATGGAGATCGAGCAAATGCCGACGAAGGACGATGTCTGCAAGGACACTACCGATTGCTGTTGCCGTCACAAATGTTGCGTGCACAGCAACGAGAACATCCTGGAGAAGACAAAGATCCTTTCGGATCTGATCCTCAAGGCACAGAATCCTTTGTTCAGACATTTGTTGGGCACGGTGGATCTGCAATACGGACTGCAAAATATGTGGGGCAACATCGTGGACACGAACAACAGCTGTGGACAAGATCTTCGAATCAAAAACGAGAACGTTGTCGAAATGGAACAAGATCTTCCTCTGGATTTGACGATCAACAAGTAAACCAGAGCTTTTTCTGTAGCGAAGAATTCACTTTTCAGGTTGTGAGAGGCTGAGCTGCCTCAAACTACCGGCCGTGGCTCGCGTTCAACGTTGTCAAGGTCGTCCTGCGTGCCTTAAAACGAATCTGCCTTGAAAATTTAAGAATATTCCGACGGTGAAATGAGTTGTTGATTCAGGGCGACCTTGAACGTTCACAAAATTGAGTCAGTACCAACTCGAACCACGGCCGGTCTTTGCTTCCGCAGATTCTACGACAAATCGGTTTCTTTTTTTTTTTTAATTAGTAGGAACGTTTGAGAAGCGATATCTTTTAATTCGATGTTCACTCTGTTTGCGGATTATCTAGAAATAGCTCGACAAAAAATAAGTAGACGCGGGAAGTAAATGTACCGGTGATAAAGAAGAAAAGATTGCCGTTGTGATTAGACTGCGAAAAGCCAAATATGTCAATACCGTTGTAATACGCGTCTATCGTACGACGGAGTCGAAATAGGAAACTAAGATCGAACGAGACTTGCTCAATCTTAATTCGTTATCGATTACCCAGCCTCAGGGGCACGATTAAGGAAACCACGAAGTTAGATCGAATAGTCAGGTATAAACATGTTTGCATCGAAATCACAAATAACAGTATGGTTGATAAATGAACTCCCCTGTATAATACGTGCGAAAGAAATATCCCGGTATACTATGCTAAACACCTATGTATAATATGTATATAAAAATATATTATGTGTAAGACGTTCAGAAAGTGTTAAATGCGTGGAGGAGGAACGTGCGTGCATTTCTGCAATGAAAAGAGCGTGTTTTAACGACATTAAACTATTCAATAAAAGCACATTATTTATGTAAAAAAATGTTTATTATCTTTTTTCACGCCATATAACAAGTTCCTTTTCCCTCCTTCGGTAAAGCAATACATGATTTAACGTTGTTTCGTCCGTTTGAAAATACCAGTGAAAAATTCAGTCGTCTTTTATATCGACAGAATATCAAAATTTACAATATCGTTTTTGATCGAGATCCGTGTCTTTAGACACGACTATAATTCGTGTCGATTAAAAAATAGATGTACAATAAATATGGCAGCAAAATACGAAAGTACAGAAATTTGTGTTGCTTTCATGTCGTACGACCATAACAAGCCGTAGAGATTATTTTGAAAAAAAAAAAGAAAGATACGTGTAAACAATTTATGTTAATACAATTCTCACGATATATTATGACTTATTAAAAGATCAGACATGCCGTCTTTAATAATTTTTAAACTTTCTAAGTCAGTATTTATTGTTGCTATAAGTTGTGCCATGCCCTGTTGTTCCATCGTGAGATACTAAAACAAACGAGAAAGAGTTGTGCATATACTTTGCGAAACGATTTTTATTTCTACCAAATCATCTTGTTTACATACCGCTTTTATATCATCTTGTGCTATAGGATCCATCGCGTATCTCTCTTGATTCTGCGTATCTACGTGACTTCTCATTCGCAACTGAGACAGCATCTCGCTAATTCTACCTTTGAACTGAGTCGGAGCACTGATCTGGGAATGCATGGTTTCGAACCTACGCGTTAAAACTTCTTCCTCTGGTTGTAAAGATAACCCAACCTTCCGAGTGATTTCTTGACGTACCAATACCTTCGAGGAATATTGGAGTGTACAGAAAAAATAATCTTTGAACGTGTATTTATAACATAACATACGTACCTGCAACACTCTATGCTGCAATTCCAATAGATTTCTCCGATGTTCTTTGAGTCTAGCTTGTATTGCCGTACGTTGCCTTTGTAATCTTTGTACTTCTTCAGCTGCCATGTCCAAGTAATTTCTATGCCTCGCTGTTTCTTCTTCTTGACACTTTAATCTATGCTTAACCTGCTGAAAACCAATCACTGGCACTGGTATGTACAAATCTGGATTAGGATTATCCAATTGAGCTTGTTTCCATAATCTAAGATCGATAGAGCAAGGCGGATTGTCTAAATATTCTTTGAGTTGTGCAGGGTCCAATTTAACTAAAGGCAATATATCTTCTACGCCATTTTGTACTAATTGTTGCTTTTGCATCGGTTGCGACAAATATGTAAATAATTCGTTCGTTGGAATTTTTCGCGGAGCTCCCGTGATTCCTTTCTCGGTAACAAAAATGGTCACTTGAGTTTTGTCTTCCCCAGTTGATTTGATGTTATCTATTGTAAGAGATAAATTTGGCTTATTCCCTAAGACAGTATTCAAAAATCCGATCAATTGAGCTTCGCCTTCTTTAACATCCTTCTTCTTTTTATTAAAACATAGTACCACTAGTCCATCGTTATTATCGGCATCGGGCATACGACTATACCCAATGGCTTTAAATCTACATAACGGATTTTCTTGATTAAGTTCAATAGCCGGTGCATTCATGGAATAGTAAGCTTTTCCTGTGCCCCATAAAGCTTGTATAAGATTCCATCTAGCGATAAGATTATCGCGTTCATCATTGTACAATTGACAATTAAAGACAGCATTATATAGAGCTTCTGATATAGTATTAGCAGGTTGCTGCTGTTGTAATTGTTGTTGCTGAAACTGTTGCTGTGGTTGCAATCCAGTTCCAAAACTGGGAAATCCTGTACCTGCACAAACAGCATAATACGAATAAATATGATAATTAACATAATGAAAAATATCGTCACGTTGAAGCTGACCTGTACCGAAACCACTGAAACCGGTTGTTGTAGTTGTGGTCGTCGGTTTGGTTCCGAACGCACCAAAACCTGTTGCTCCACCAAAGGTAGATGTATTTGTAGTACCAAATCCTCCAAAGAAAGAAGGCGCAGACGTAGTTGTTGCAGTTCCAAATCCACTGAAACCACCAAAGCTTAAAGAGGATGATGTTGTAGGGGCTCCAAACCCTCCAAAGCCTGTTGTAGCAGCAGGAGTGGCACCAAAACTAGTCGTTCCAAATGCAGTGCCTGTCGAAGTAGCCGGAGTTCCAAAAGCTGGAGTGGATCCAAATCCAGTGGTAGAAGTTGTGCCAAATGTAGGTGCAGTACCAAAGCCGGTTGTTGACGTATTACCAAAACCTGTAGCAGCTGGTGTTCCAAAGGTAGTTCCAGTACCAAATCCACCAGTTGCCGGAGTCGAAGAAGAACCAAAAAGACTTGGCGCAGAAGTGGCTGGAGTACTAAATCCAAAAGATGGTGCTCCAAATCCTATGGAATTATTGAATTGCAGTATGTAACATTAAGTTGCAGTTTGCACATAAAAAAAACCTGCTTTTGTTTTTATTAAATGGAACACACTTCAAGCGTGTTAACCAGTAAGTGACACAAATGTTTCACTTGCAGGAACAACAGTAATTTATTTATTATTTTATTTCTGTATTTTATATATTAAGAAGACGTCAAATATATTAACAACATAATATAACAAATTTAAATACAATATATATTAATTAAAATTTTTCTGCTACACATTAAATCTGATAACAAAAAAGGATCTTGAATTATGTCATACATGAATCAACAAAATCAGGTAAGCTCGATAAAACTGAGTAACATGGGATTTAATTTAAACGATATAAAAATACTGAGCAGGAAAACAAATATGGTCAACTTGCTCGTAAATTATTGAAGATAGCTACAATGTCTGGCAGTAAAGTCGTATTTCGTCGTGCCGATCAACCTTCAGATACAGTTACCGAGCTTTTACATGAAATTGGCACCACGGATAGGGCAATTGGGGTATATTTTAATTTTTATTTGCAGACAGTACAAACTATTTAGATGTAAAAAAGTTATAACCTAATGTTTACAAAGGATGTTACAGCCGAAGTGATGTTAACTACATTAGGTAAAATTCCAAGTGAAATGTATTATTTAGAAGATACAACTTGCAGTGCAAAATTAACAACGCCTAAAAGCAGTTTGCAACAAACACACGCGTATGGACACGCTGTTGCAGCAACAGAGGAAACAATAAGAAATGGCAACGAACACGGTAGCCATTCGTCTATATTAATTATTTTATTAATTACACTTCTGGTAATACTGTTGTTATGTTGCATAAGCGCATGTCTCATAACTAAAACAAAAAGAAGAAACAATTTCTTTGGAAGATCTGACACAGAATGCGACCCAAGATGTAGCGGTATAAATCAGCCTCTATTAGATAAAATTTCAGATTGTACAAATAAAACGAGCATTAGTTCTCTGAGAAACTAAAGATAAAGAACATGGTATGAGCCTATATTAAAGTTACATTTCTTTATTGAACAAAGTACTATTTTAAATTCCAATGCTATACAACATGATAATGCACATATACTACATTGAAATACATATAAATACATAGCATGATGAAACAGCATATAAAAAATTGGAGTACACTTCAAACTGTCATTCCAAATATATCTAGAAAAACAGCATTTATAAAAAATATTAAGATAATTGGGTAACTTGTAATCAGATGCGAAGCATAATGGGCAATATGGCTAAAAAGATTTCTGAACAAGTCACATGTAATGGAAGAGACTAAGAAATGTGACTTAACCTAAAAGAAATTAACTTACCCGGTTTTACCGGTGTGGCCGTGGTTGAAGCCGGAGCACCAAAGTTAAAAGCAGGAGCGGGTGTCGAAGTTGTCACTCCGAATCCCGATCCAAATGACATTTCTCAAATTAAACTAAATTTGACGTACTGTAGAAACACGTTTTTACCGCGCGCGCCTTACAACTTCGTATCAACGACAATGCCACGAACATGGCGACTAACATGCGCCGTAGACACAAATTCTTCTTTACTCGCAGAGCATTCTATCAGTTGTCACCGGGCCCGCTTATTTTCGAACAAGCACAACAAACGCAATGACTTTTCTGTTAAATTGTAGCTAAGTTTATTTGATTTTTTAATACACTTGTATTTCATTTGTACTACATATTTTCATAATTGCCGCAGGCATCTATGATGTATTAAATATACGTATTTCTTGAAAGAATTGTACGTGTCATCGTTTGATACTTCAAATAAAATGGTTCATAAACTTTTCGTGTAAACTTGTGCAAAAACACGTCGCAAGATTTACAGCGAAGCCAAGTTAATCGTCTTAACTTGGCCTGCTCGATCTTTCGACGTTGATCCACGAAAGCGAAGCATCGTAATCTTTTCTTTTAGCTCGTTAGCGTGATAAACATCGCATCGGTGAACGATTGCTGATTCGACCTCTTTGATAAAACGAGAGCGCGAACTCCCTTCGATAAGCGCAGGGTTATTAATAACAGATACAATATGTGACTTTTAACGAATTTTTATAATTTAAAAACTTAAAAATAAATATATCTCCATATTCTAACGTACATATATATGATACTTTCTTCAACAGTTCGATAGGACTATACATGTATAGTGTATAATAATAATACCGTAATCGAGCGCTATTTCGCGCGACAGTCGATCGAAGAAGTACAGTAAAAAATACGTAGATGAGCGCGACGATGATTATGCTAGAAACGATTCAACAGAAACATTCATAGAATCTCTGTAACCGTCATGTACACGTACAATGGTGAAATTTAGATGCATGACAGAAAATGCTGTGCTCCATGAATTATCCAATCTACGTTGTACACGTAAATCAATTTATATACTGGTAAAATCTGAATTGCAGTCAAATCACATCATCTTTTCGACAACGTTAAACAACTTCTAAACTGAACATCTCTCTAACGTTTAGATTCGCTATTTAGAAAGATCGAATCTTCTTATCGTTCCGTTAAAACAACTGTTAAATATTTCATCGAGTTTCCTCTAAGTCGTAACATTAACTGAACTGCAACGTTTACAAATTTTCTATAAATACCTTCCAAGGTGTACATTGATTTTTAACACGACTTTTAAAGAGGAAGAAGGGCAGGGGGCTACTGAGTCCTTCCTGGATATTATTCGCTGAAAATAATCTCTTTCGGTACTGTACAGTTACGAGAAACGATGACTTCTGTTGGTAAGAGGTAGAGTAAGGGAAGTTTGCCATGATAGGTACTGGAGCATACCGGCGCTAGTAGGTTAGAGTAATAAGGAAAGGTGGGTAGTGAACTCACCTAATTGCTTATACGAGCATTATAAACGCGTGGTTCTTTCTACTAACGCTAGTATACGGCATCGATGTAACTTAGATAGTAGGATACTCGAATAAGTTGCTTGCGTTAGTATACTCTGTCACGTACTCCATCGACAGAAATTAAAGTTGAGGAACAAGAGTAGCGTGAGGTCACCATAATTTCCGTTACCAAGAAAAGTAATCGTTGTACGTAACTGTACAGGTGGCGTTTCTTCCGCGATACAACGACAAAATCGCATTTCAATCGTTGCAACACGATCCCCGGTTTCTCTTCCGGTTACAAAATAAAAATCTGCGGTTCCGTGGGGATTGTGCGTGTACATTGATTGCTAGTTTTAGAAGATAGAGAGAAATAGAGAGCTTTCAGCCCGTTCACACAGGTGTATTGCTTTCGACGTCCTAATCGACGTGGCTCTGTTGCGTTCAGCCAACCTGGTCCGTTTCTAGAAAGAAGAATTGAAAAACGATAATCCTTCAGATACCATTTGGAAAAAGCGTTCAGATTTTCGTGTCCATTCATAAATAATTCCTAGTCCGTTCGGACCCTCGAGTCCGTTACGACATGAGTAATCTGAAAGATTAAGCGTCTGAATGTATCGATCCACCTCATCAAGACTCCCAAATTATTTATGAATGGCGTCTCATTTCCAAGCGTTTAAATCTCGTTAGCGTGTCCTTCTTTTGCCCATAATCATCTCTAATTTCGCGTTCCGTACAATTTGGGAGCAGACTTCATGAGGTTCACATCGATTCGCAGCGTTTCGGAAACGACCAGGTCATTGTCTAACGAGATTTAACTGCAATTTTTATTGATCATTCGTGAATTAATGCGAAGAACTTAGGCCTGAGAGAAACAAAACTTCTCGACTATTTTTGATCGTGGAGTCGCGCGTAATAAAATATCATCCCCTTAAACGAAAACATTTCAATTTGTCCAAATCCTGACTTAGGCACATCGAGGTGCAACGTTAGGTTTCTCTTGGTTAAGGGAAACGTTAGCAAAACCGATCTTTAGCTATTCGCCTTTGATCTTGGATGAATCCTTACGGATAATCTAGACAGAAAATATAGGGACAACTCTGAAAGTTTCTCGAGAGAGGAATTCTGGTGAGAACCTAAATAGAAGTCTAAGTAGAATCCAGAAGTTGCCTAGTGAAAACCTAAGCTAACGCCTTTGATATTTCCAAATAAAAACAAGGTCAAATAAATCCCGTGAGTGATGGGACACTTCCTCCCTCACACTTCTCCTTAACCAAAGGAAGTCTAAATTACACGCGATTGTACCTTCTTCCGTAGAAGGCGAATGGATTCGATCTCGTCATTCGGGAAGATGTTCGTACATGATAACGCGAGGTTTTTGACAAAAACGATAAATGTTTCGTCCCTCTCATTTTGGACCCGTGTAGACCGTGCGCGAAGAAATTCGAATAATCACCACAAAGGTGGGCGGTTTTCAGTGAACAAACGCGTACAATTTCGCGTTTAGCGTAAAGTATTAAAAAGTCAACAGTAAGTATTTCGCGAAGTATCCTCTTTTGGTCCGTGTTACGTAATTGATCTCTTTTCGCGTTCTCATCGGATACGTTTCTCCTCTTTCGTATCCGATAGAACGCCACACGAGTTCATTTATTCTGTGATTCAATTAAGAGTTAGATAAAACTTCTCTGTACAAATATCGTGTAATAAAATCTCGATTAATCTGTAGCTATGCGTTAAATGTATCTTTATATAACGAAAAAGATCGTTGTAAACGAGATTGCCGCGCGACATTTGTAGGCCAACTTCTTTTTGTCGATACGTATAACTGTCTCGCGCGTGAAAATATCTTAACATCGAAACTTGTTTGCTTCTTTTCGCTAAATCACATATTTAACTTGCACGATTTTTTCCACGCATACGCACATCTATTACTTTGACGGTATACACATTCAACATTGATACGTTTAGACACCGAATATATCAACACAGAGAACGCCTTCTTTAAGGCGCATCGTACCGATCTACGTAACTTAAAAATAATATTAGCCCCGAGTTAACGGGTAATCCGAATTTTTTATAATTTCGGTGCATTCGTTTCTCTCATGGTTTGATTAGAAGGTACGTGGTAATGCACAAATAGAAGATTACTAAAGAAAGCGTGTCGAGCCTTAGAAAGATATGAAAATTAAATGCTATCGTTAGAAAAGAACTGGTATAGTTGTTAGGTCCCATTATCTTAAATTAGTAATGCTCAACCCTCTCGCTGCATCGCAACCTAGCTGTCTATAACATTTATTCGCAACATTTCAATTTATAATCGTATACAGGATGCTTTGCAAAGATTCTGCCAAGTTTTCGAGCTCTCGATTTTATAATTAATAGTCAGGTATTTAACATTGTATATACACGTAATAGGCAGCGAAAGGATTAACGCGCGAGGAATCTACAAGTACGATCCTGAGAATTCAAAATCAGAAGCAGAAGCTCGAGATGATTGTGTATAAACGGAAATACCCCCACCGATTGCGCTGTCCGAGGTTCCTTCGCCTGTGACGAAATCGGCGACGATCAGCGAATCCTTCGGGACGTTTCCGCTATCACCTTTTAACGTATCTCTTTTGGCCAGCATCTGTTTCAAAACTTTGATCTTCTCTTCTTTCTACAACAGAAGAATAAATTAATGGTAATCCGTTGAATCTCCTTCGATCAGATCTGGGTCTAATAACTAAGCATGATCGATTACGGTACCCGTTTCTGAAACACGCAAACGATTCACGAAGCTAGAAACTGTTCTTACCGCAGCGATAAGCTTCTGAAGTTCATCGTTCTCGCGGAGAAGCGTTTGATACCTTTCCTCGTCCTCCTTCGACATACCTACGTCTGGGTTGTATTTGGATTCAGCCTTGTCTTTAGGGTTCCCGATTACCTCGATCACCTTAGGTACGAAAATTAGAGCCATGCTCAGGAAACAGCAGAAAATAATAGCAAGCGCGACGAAAGCGAAGCTGGCATCTTGTTGGCTGGCAATCACCATCGTCACGGGAGCTGTGATCAAGCAGAGGACTACCACGTTATATATCGACATCCCTACGTATCTGGAATCATTGATCTGTTTAACTTTGATGCTTCTCGTCTCGTAAGCCAAAAACAGCCCGAACACCAGAATGATCCCTTTGTAACTGTACATTAAACCTGAAAGAGAAATCGTAGCTTTGTTGTTTCTTCGTGAAAATTAAGTAGAAAGATTTCTCTTTCAAAGTAGAACGTACCCAACCAAATGTTGTTGTGTACGCTTTCGCAGTGTTCCAATTCGGGTCTAATTCTCGCGTCGTCATCGCCAAATGGCGACGATTCCAACGGAAACGTTTCCATTTTCCTTTGCAAAGGATCGAGCACCTGCCAGGAAACCAACAGCACGATGTCAACTGCCAACAGTCCGCTCACCATCGTGTACAGCTTCCACGGTTGAACCTTCTTCTGTATGGACGAAACTTTTTGTTTAGCCATGAACAACTAAAAAGAATCAAGAACAGGTTAAAGATGAGGATCATACGAGCAGGAACTGCGAACCATGCAAGGGGCGGTGCACACTGCCATTGTAAACTAGAAAAATAGGTCGCACGGTTAATCAATTGCGCGCGTGTATCGGTGTGCATGTTTCAATTATTATTTCCAGTTAGGTCACGTCTGCTGATTCTCCTCGACGCTTACCTTCGCCTGATCGGCTTTCGTTTTTGTCGTCAGCCTATGGACCCGCCATACTTTGCTGAACATAGCTCCGAACGCTAAAGTGAAACCCGTCGACAGCATCCAAGATCTGGCTTGACAAACGGCTGGATACTCCCACGGTGATACGAATCTACCATCGATACCCAAAAGAAATACCGACACGAAACATGCTATCACTCCTACCAACATTATGGTGTTGCACACAGGATGAGAGGACATGATCACCCTAAAAAATGAACGACGGTGATTGTTTGAAAAGAGTCAACGAGGAATAAGCATCGTACCTTCTATGCCTATTCCAAATATTAAAAATAATCAAGGCAATGGCTATTACGATCCCCACGGATGATATAGTCCCCATACAGATAAACAAAGGCAACGAGACCGTTCTTAGGACAGTTCTCACAATGGTCCTGTCTTGCGGCACTTTACCACCGATCCATCGTTCCATGTTCCTCCACGTAAGATTGTCACTTTGCGTATCGTAGTACCCTAACTTAACATACTTTCCATCGATCACCTGCTCGATTTGGGTCAATGCGATTCTGTCACCTTGCGAGCTGAACGCAACGTATCCCTATAGCACGAAGGATCGATTAAAAATCGTTGGACGTAATACTTTCTTCGCATTTCTATTACGGCCGAAGTATACGTACAGATACTCCTAGAAACTGGGTGGAATTAATCGCGGAGTAAATCTCGTAGGCTATCTCTTTGTCGACGTAGGTAAAGTTCTTCAAGCTCTTTCCCTGTTTACTCAGTTTTTCCATTGTTTTATTAAATGCTGCAATTGGAAACAATATCAAATGATTCGAGTATCGAAGAATTCTAAAGATAATAATTTTCACATATTCAACGCAATTAAATTAATTCGGTCTCTTGCAATGTTCAAATTACACAGAAGCAGTTTCATACCTAACGCTACAGACCAAACAGCATCGTAAGCCAACGGCGCCTCTTGATATCCTTCCGGATATCGATTGTTATCGATATCGTAACCGTCCTCCTTCAGCATTTTGTTCAACCTCTGTCTAAAATCCTCGGATGTCATCCCACTGATTGTCGTGTCATTATTTTGGTTCCACATTAAAGCCTCCGTCGTGAGATGTCCCTCGGCCGCGAGCCTCATTTGATCCTTCGTGCAGGTGATTCCCTCCTTATCCAAGTTCACTTCGAACCAGTTGTCTTCGTACCATCCGATGAAAAACCATACGTAACTTTTACCGTAGAGATTTTGATGATACAGCTCACACAAAACCCTTCTCGCGGCCACGACGTAGAACAGACCAACGATGATCCTGGCATCTTGCCGACGAAGGTTCCTCACCGCGTCCGATGGATCCGACAGAAAGCTCTGACGAGTGACTATTTCTATTCCTGCCTCCTTGCAACGAGCTTCTAAATCTTCTACAGTCTACCAACAGATGTTGACGAGATTATTTTTAATTATTGTATATAAAGTGTGCCGGTACAACGTGTGCAGGTCTTACAGATATGAACACTTCTTCGGCTTGCTGTAAAATCGCTACGCGAGACCAACCGAATTTTTGTAACAATTTGATTCTCGTTGGATTGTGCACCGTAGCGGATGGATGGGTCCTGAACAGCGTGGGGAACCTATTTCGATCGGACAAAGCTGGCGATGACGCACCGTAACATAACTGAAAGAAAAATTTTCTTTTGTTCGTTCTAATAATTTAAAAAATAGATCACACTTACCACAACCAGATTCCACATTTTTGCAGCCTCGGCGACGGTCGTACAGACGGTGCTACATCCTGCTAGCAACATCAGTTTGTGCGGTTTGTTATACAGCAAGTTGTACATCACCGATGCACCGAGTCCTGGCTCGCACTTAAACAAGTATAATTCTCTGTAGCCAAGCATTGTTTTTGTAAAAACATAGAAAATCGTTCGACGTACCTCGCTGTCGTTCGAGTGGAGTTTGAGTATGAATCCTGGCAGTAGATTTTTTTCGCGATTAACATCGTCAAGAGCCAAGTTCACAGCTGGCATGCAAGCCTACGGACGATATTAATCTCTTTTGTTATTTGTTTCCAGAAGAGATATATCCTTCCAAAAATTATAGTTAGCATCAACCTACCTGTTAATACTCGAAAATGATCGCTACTTACCTGGCCACCCTGCCACCCACCCTCTCCTGCTATCGGGAAAATACCACCGATATGCAACACATTGTCGGCGTCGTCCGCAGTTGACGAACCCTCGATCGCGTTTGTCAACGTTAAAACAATTAGAAGCATCAACATCGTATAGCCTGTGAATATTTTTCGCGTATCTATGTAAACGGCCTAAATTTCTTCTACGTTTCCTTTGCTCTACGACACACCCCAGCAGCACGACGTTAAAAACCGTACTTTCTTCGCGTGAATCACAGCCATCGTTGATCGCTGATCGCCTCGAACGGAGAATCACTAATTATTCATAGAGCGACCGTTTCACCCCCGAAGCTTTAGGGCTTCGCGAAAGAGGGTCGTGCACTCGAGAGGATATTCTCGTTTCACGACATTTAAGAACGTGTTTTAGCGTTCTCCATCGTTCACCGGGTCCCTACGCTCCTCCTCGCGCGACACCCCGTCAAATTTTGACTGCGAATAGATTTACCGAAGACAGAACGTTCGCGCGAACTTTCTATTGATCTCATCCCGGCTTCCAAGGATCGTAGTGGGGATAGGGTGGCTCTGTCTTACGCTTTTATCGAAAAATCAATATATAAAAAGTGATTCGATCTGGTGTTCAATTCTGAGGATCACTGATATTCTGAAAATCGAATGTCTTATTTAGCGATTTGGAAAAAAAGATCGACCGCATCCTATTCGAACGATTAGAAACAATTTCGGATCGATCGACTCGATCGGTAATGTCGCGTGCGCTGACGGCGCTGTTATGATTCTGTCACGAAGCGATTTGAATCGTTTGTGTTTTCGTGAGGTTGCGAAGAACGAATTTTATGGAAAAATAGTCTGTTTTTGCATAATGGCAGCACAGCGAGCGCTTCCTCAAAGCAAGGAGGCTTTATTGAAGTCTTACACGACAAGGTTAAAGGATGATGTGAAGTCTATGCTGGAGAATTTCGAAGGTACGTTACTTAACCTCAATTTTTGCTCGAGAACTCGTCATTTTTTAAAGAAAACGTTGTGTAACGCTGCGATATTTGATCGTAGTGTTTGATGAACTTCTGTGTTCAATTAAACCGATTGATTTTCTTATATGAAATAGCATGAAATAACAATGTATGAATTCTAACCTATCTGTATCATAAATAACCAACCTAAATTATCTATTTCAGAGATTATAAAACTAGCCAAAGGGGAAAGCGATTCGCAGTTATCTCGTATGACACAATGCGAACAGGATACGTATGAAATGCATGTCAGAGCAGCCAATATCGTACGTGCTGGGGAATCTCTGATGAAGCTAGTGTCGGACATAAAGCAGTACCTGATACTTAACGATTTTCCTTCCGTGAACGAAGCTATAGCACAAAATAGCAAATTGTTTAGAACGAAACAAGCGGAATGCGACCAAAAATTAGCTTCCTTAAGGGACGATATGGCTGCAGATTTATACGACTTAGAAGAAGAATATTACACTTCGATATATAAATAACATTAGCTTTAGTTCCTCGAGACTGTACAAAAGCGTACTCGTCGGTTGGACCATGCATCGATTTCAAACAACAAAAAGAAAAACCGTGATTTGTCTGTTCAATAAACTGTATATATTTATTTAAATAAATAAGAATAGTTTTGATAGTACATTCCTATTTCTTAATTGGGAGCCTGACACGCGAGAAGATAGACTTAACGACAATGATTCAGGCGTAATTGTTTCACTTTTATTACTTGAATACTTTGTATAACACACAGACGATACATCACACGATACTTCTAATTGGTAAGTATACTCAATAAGGTAATGTAGATTCAAGCTTCAGATAATAATAACAATAATAAGAATTAATGAGAATAATAATAATAAGAATTAAGAGTAATAAGAATGACCTTATAATAATACTATTTCCTCTTTAATCATTTTTTTTTTCTTTTACTTGAATGACGATGCCTTTTCCATTATATACTGTACAGCGATAATTTACAGAAATAGTACGGAGTTCCCTTCGACCGGAGCAGACAGAGATTACATCGACGGTTGAACGAACGACCACCCGTTGGGATAACGAAATAAACGCACGTCGTCATAGTGAAAATTTTTGGAATGTTCCATCTTCGTAATCTCGTTTACTCCGTATACGTGCTGCTGAAACGACAAACTGAGCTTCCGTCGACACGGTACTGTTCCATCAACTAATTGGGAAGCAGCGATTTACGCGATACAGAAGGAAAAGTAACAAAAAATATCACAGTGTAAAATGCAACGCTGTGACACAGACTCATCAAGTGTCGATCGAACGTGGAATTAACCCATTGATTGCCACTGTACAGCTGTTGTACATTTCATTAGGTAGTATTCCTATGTTCAACAAATCTTATTTCTTTTATTTTCGCGTTATTGCATTACATTTATTATCCGTAACTTCGAATACCTAATACGAGTATTTCTAATTAGGTAAATAAAAGAATTCCTAATAACGTGAGCAATGGATTACTGTGGAAGTTCAAGCATCGTTCGCGTACGAGCGACGTGGCAGTCAACGAGTTAAATTAAGAAAAAAAAGCCTAAATGTATTATGTATGATTATGATAGGAATTAGAACACGATGGTCGGTTCAGCGTATAAATGCATCTTTGTTAATTAATATTATTATCATCATTGTATCGCACGTTTTATCCTTGAGTCAGTCCGCGGTCACGCGATTATAAATCTTAATCAAAGGTTAACCACACTGCCACAATCATACTTTCTTTCAACACCTATTCGATTCGACGTAAAAACATGAATTTTCGACGCGACAACGAAAAAAGGGAACACGAACAAAAATACGCAAGAATCGGTCTCGAAGCGAAATTGAATTTTAATTGTTTCGAACGAACGCGAACTCCGAGAAACTTCGAGACCGAAGAATAATTTAGTATGTACAAAATTCGATTCGCTTAAAATTAACGTTCGATTCGTTAGCAAATTAACTCTCCTTCTTGTAATAATTGATGTAGTCGATGATTAGTTGGGTTTATCTTTCTGTTTTTGGTCGTCGTTCGAACGAACGAAAGGAAATCGTATTTTATCCTACATCAAAGTGTGAACGAACCTTGAGCATATTTGTATAAATAATGAATTTTCTTTCGAATGTACAATTCTTCCATCGCTTCCTGAACTGACGGTTCTCGACTTATCGTACATATACGTTAAAGTGTATCAAGTAGACTTACACTCTACTTTGGCAAAAAACTTTTACAAATCTAAATTCGAATGTTCTTATTCTCTTTTTCTTTTTTCTTTTTTCGTTTTTACCTAAAAAAAATCTTGCATAAAACTTGCTTTTGGCCTTCGACTGGCAGCTCGAACGTTCAATGGCTTATTAATAGCTGATAAAGTAATCTCAAAAAGGTATACAAAAATGTTCAGTTCCATCGTCGACTTCTCTCCGTTTGTTGTAAAATGTGCCAAAAAAGGTGATATGCTATTTTCTCTTGCTTCTTATCTCTTTTTCTTGTTCATCGATCACTGAACTCTCCGTCTTAAAGTGCTATCGAAAAGGGAGAAAAGCACTGGCGGCTACTATTGGCAGTTTCAGTTATTCGTTACTTAGGAAAGTTTGTTCGCTTCTTTTTTTTCTGTTTGTTATCGTAGTTGATACAACGTAAATGCATATAATTGGAATGATACTGTGGTTCATTTTCTCGCCTTACTACCTAAGGAAACGTTTGCTTTTTTATCGACGCGTTCGCGAACGAAAATTCACGATTTCTTCTCGTGTTTGATTTCGTTAAAAACAATCTAGCTCGAGAACGAACTACGGGTACAAAAACGGTCGTGAACGCGTCGGTGATGCATTTTTGACAAAAAATAATAAACAAATTCGCAGTTGCTTATTCGTACGCGACGAGCAATCGTCACTCGAAGAAAGATGTCTGTTCTTTTTCTTCGGTGTAGTGATCGTTTGCTTCCTTCCGTCGTTAGAAGCTTAATCTAACGTTCTTTCGTGTTTACGAAAAATAAAAACGGAAAGAGAAATACTTTATAATTAGTCTTTTGAGTAGTCGGAACTTGGGATTCCTCGCTCTCCACGCGGGAGAGCTTTTGAGCTTCCGAGCTTCTTTCAGCCCCACGCGTTTCCGTCGTCACGCTTTCTTTGCCGATCCTCTTCTGGTTTGTCGTTGGTACTCGTTCAGTAGAGAAGATCGCCGGTCGTTTCGGAACCCCACGCGCCAGCGTCTTGAGCAGGTTTCAGGTAGTCCGCGTCGGTCTCGTTTTCCGCTTGATCAGGTGTCGGAGTGGACGTTTGGATCGGCACCGGGGTCGAGGACGCGGCTCTGCTCGTCACACCCAATTCGAAGCCTTCGGATGTCAGGTCCACTTTGCTGGGAGTGTAACTGGCTAGACCACCACCACCACCTGCAGGGAACAAGCACTAGCTTTCAGCACGCTACGGCATCTACGAGGATTGAACGGAGTTAAGGTAGTTTTCTTAACAGAGACAAAATAATCTTGAAGGAACTAGTTTCGATGAAACAGGAAGAATCTGTGACCTGGATGAAAACTTTCTGCACGACATTGCGCGTCTAAAATACGGAGTGAGTCACGCTATTCAATCGCGGCTTTCTTATTCTAAATCGCAAAAATTATCGAGGGGTACTTTTGTCGACACGACGAAAGAAGGCTTAGCTACGCTAAAGCACGTCCAACGACGATGATTCTAACGGTTAAAAAATGCTGATTATTCCAGATCATAAATTCTTTTTTATTAAGGTACACGTATGGGGATGTAGAAAGTCTGATACGATGTCGTAACATAAAAGTATAATTTGTCGCAAAATAGCACTTTCGTTATATCAATTTGAAGCTTAAGGTTTATTGAGAATATTTATGTAAACGATTGGTTCTTTGTTAAATTTACTAATGGTCAAAGCTGTAAATTGAACGATTCGTTATTTAAACGAAGAACCAATCATTTTGTACCATGAGTATCGATCAAACGTTTACGTAGTAATTTTCGTGAAGCTTTATGCATTGAAGCATACCATACGCTAGTACTTTCATGCGATAAAATCGTGATAGACTTTCAACGTTTCTAAATTATCCTAATAGGATGAGTAAAGACAGGGTGAAGCGTATCTAAGTTTTGCATAATTAATCTATACTAGCGATTCCTTCACAGGATCGATATTGAAAATGAATTGCAGCTGTTTGTAGCTGTTCGTAGAAGATACAACGCGACGAGTCATCGTTGTCTCTGCAAAAGATCGAAAACAACGGGACACATTTAATGGAGCAGATGAAAATGATTCGCGTGTAAGGGAAATAAACGATACGCGGTACGACGATAACGAGAATTAACGATTAAAATTACCGAGAAGGGTCGGCAAGCTCGTCGTCGAATTGGTCGAGGACGTTTTATTACTGATCGGAGCTGATTGCTCGTCGGAACCGGAAGTGTCGCCATCCACGCTGCTCTCACCCTCCAGCATCGATGCCTCGCTGGGATATTCGAAGGTACGGGTTGCTGTATCGTCGAATTGTATCCGATGCTGAAACAATCGCAATGTCACGTTTCTTCGTTACTCCGCTGTACAGTAGGAAGCTTAAATTAACTTAAATTAGCGTCATTTCAAATTGACTCGTTTAAAATGAGCAAAGATTCATTTTTCAGATAGCAGTCGAGCTGATTCGAAAATAAGTAAGCGCCATCTGAAACAATTTATATATCGCTTGGAACAAAAATATTTAAGTCAAATACAGACACCAATATGTCTGCAATCGTAACGAGGTAAATTATTTTTTTTTTTTAGAAAGTAAGCTGAAGGGTTCTCTGTTTGATATTAATATAAAATTACAGGAGGAAAACGGAAAATAAAGCAAGCCTTTGTTATAACGGCTGAATGTATTGCAGCACGCGACCATTAAGGAAGAAAACGGTTCTGCTCGATGGAAAGAGGCACGCGTACGTCTTTTGTGGCTTGTATCGCGCAATACGCGTAGTCAGCTACAAATAAGACACGGGAAGAGCAAACAACGGCATGCAGCTTGGAATAACAGTAACCCGTCACACTCGATGCTTTTTCGACTATGAGCGAGGACATCGCCTCCTCGTTCGCTCCTTCTCGGCGAGCACGATCAAAAGAGAAAGCAATTCTTCTACAGAGCCGATATAAGAAATCTCCGTTTACTCGACAACGATATTTTGAATCTTCGCAGAAGAAGAAGAATGAAACACTAAATAATTGTATTCATCCAACACTAGTTCGCAGATGATTCTTTGATTTAAGTACCATTTTATAGCAATGTAAACGAATTTCCTTTCGTAAGATTAGAAAATTGATAGCATAACGGAAGATTACATTCGAGTATTAAGAACGTTACAGCCCTAACTAGAGTTACAATGGTCCAGATACCTACTGGCCGCATAAGAATTGAAAAGCAGCGAGAAAGTAAATAATAAAGAGAAAAGATAAACGGAAAAAATGACAGTTGTCAATAAACGGAAAATGAGCGATGTTGTCCAAAAGCAAATATCAAGATGGAAAGTTGCGTGACAGGACACGAGGACAAGCGCGGTTAAAGCGTGCAACGAGTGTCAAATCGGCGAGTGTTCCCCCGAAGTCGGATGCACGGAAACCATCGAGGCCTACGCTGATTGGTCGACGGTATATTGATTTTCACGAAGAAACTGGCGAACCGAACTACCCTCAAAAGAGAGTAAACCTTTTGTGTCGCGCGCTTGCTTTCTCGACCATAAAATCAACCTCGGAACGTGGAGCCAGCGAGTTTCCGCTTCGAGTTCGCGCGTGCTCATCGATAAAGGTTTACGAGCAAAACTTTGCTGAAAGAGGTAAATGCTCCGAGCTTCTGAACAAGCTGGTAAAAACCATCTTTCTTTCGTCGTATTATCGATGGAACAGCCTTGGATGCTCTTTAACTTCGAGACATAAACACGTAGTTTCGATCGTTTTGTTGCAGTTCGTATTACAACGATTTGGTGCAACTAATTTTATTTATTCTATTACAAAATGTCCGTTTCCTTCGATGGAAATTACTTAATGGACCATCGAAATCGCGCTAGCAATAATAATCAGAACAACGTTAATGTCTACTTATTTCCAGACGCTTCTTCGCGCGACCATCAATTTCAACGATTATCCGAGAATCAATTCGGAAGGTTCTTCGAACAGATCGACTCGTTCTCGCGGGCTCGTTAAAAAAGACATAAGGCGGCAAGGAATCTCGGTAACGACGTCGTTTCGTTCTGCTTTACATCTTTACGGCCGCTGAAAAAACATTCGTCTTGTTTCGAGAACGCGTTTTTGCCGTAGGCTATGGGCCCGTTTCTCCTCGACGCGAATTCGACCGTCGGATCAACGGTCTCGAGAAATCGTTCAGCTGCTAGATCCTAGATTCTCTGTATCCTTACGTTTTTATATTCTTGAAAAGTTTATCAAATGAAATTTCGGTATTTATACAGAATATGTAAGTTAAGGATGTCGAGTTAATCAGAATGTTGACCTTGATAAAATATTTCAAGGTAATCGAAATCGATAAGATCCCCTTTCTCTGTATAATTATCGAAGTTTTTATTTGTACATTGACAATCGTTTGAAGAACCGATTATTCCATTTTGCTGCGACTTCCTTTTCCTGCATAGAACCTTTTGTTCCAAAATTGTAGCAGGTACTCAGCTTGCTTTTATCCGTGCTCTCAATTGTTGCTCAGTCTCGTGCTATCTTTACGCAACGGTTAAAACGTTAAAATCCTTCCGAACAATCGTCCTGTATATGAAAAAAGAAATTGGACAATCGCTCAAATACTGTTGGTATCGTCGAATAATTCTCGAGATGCTACTTAACGAACTGCGTCGCGTCGTTCGTGCAGAAGCGCACAAAACAATGCGTTGCTTATCGATCGCGAGAAAGGAAACCGTTTATCGTTGCGGACAATAGAAAGAGGAAACTAAAACGGGCTTTTACGTATTACACGTTACATTTTGCGTTCTACATGTGCCGGCTCGTGACGCGTTTAGAAGAATGCGGTCACGTCGCGTTTCCTTCCGAAACTTCGACCAAACGTTCAGTGACAAGAAACACTAGGTAATCTATTGGCGGGTGTAAATTCTGCTTTCAAGTTCACTCGTGAACAGCATGTTGCTTCGCATCTTCTTACCGAGGAATGTGCTCGACCTGCATCGTCATGTAGTAAGGTCGTCCGACGCGTATGCAAATGAAGAAATAATGTCAACACTCGTGGTCGAGGACAATTCGTCATTGGGGTAACGGTATTTCAAACAGATTCATTCGATGCTCGCTAAATAGCCTTGTAATCAATAAAAAATTTGTTTTAATTACTCCGTTACGGATGTACCGTGAATCATAGGGATAGGTCATCTCGATGCGATCGCTTCCTCGTTCTTCGGAGGCTACCGTCGCATCGGTGCACATTGATCGATGCTTCTACTTACACGCGAAACCGAAAGCTTCCTTTCTGATCTCCGCTTTGCTGTTCGAAATATAATTTTGAAAACTACTATATTGTTATGTAAAATATAGTATATCGTACATTACGACGCGCATGTAACTATAGTAACGTTTAATTGATAATATTAGGCTTAAAACAACCAGCATAGCACGGGTTTTTTAACGAGATAGACTATTTAACGGTTCGCAAACGTAATTATAACGAGGGGTTTTCCTTAACGAAGCGAGATTAGAAATTCAAATAAATTTAGCGAGCTTAAGCGAAGCAGAGAAAAAGAATCTTTCTTAGTACCTCGAGAAGTTAAAATTGACTTTCGTATTTTTTTCGCCACGCAGAGCGTGCCGAGACGCTGCAACCGTATCACAATCAACACCGAGAATTACCGAGACGAGCAATTTTCTCGGGAATGAAACGGTTTTGCAATTGTTGCGAGAGACGACCACCGGAGCTGCACGAAACTGTGACAAAATGCTTTATTTTCTACGGTACTTTGTTTTTGGCATAAAATCTTCGATATCGTAGTTCATTTTTGATATACAACGAGGTAAATTTATTCGCGGCAACGTACGTGATTTTGCCGCGTCTTAGCACGCTTCAAACTCCATTCTCCTTAAAACAACGTTGACGCAAAGCAAAACGTCGTAAAGTATCTCGTAAAATTTATCTTCATGGCGCGAAAGCATATGGTTCTGAACGGTGTATTCGCGTAGAAATCTGTCGGACGCAAGAAACAACGAACCGACCGGTCGCTTTTCACTGCTATATTTTAATTTTATGAAACCTAAAGGAATTCTAACGGTGAAAAATTGCCAGGTCGAGATGATACGTTGCTCAACGCGTCTACATCCCAAGCTGGAAAAAAGCAAGTAAAAATTGCTCAACGCCTAGTTGCTCAATTGTGCTTAATACGTTCGTGGTTTCTTTCTTATGCGTCGCCATTTTAGTACCACTGTTTTTCTACTAATTTAAAAACCATCAGGTTTCATTGCTAGAATGAGCGTTTCTCAATAACGATATTGTTAATAATACGATAGTCGACGTATCGTCGATACCTTTCAAAATGACCAGCCTTTCTTGTTCTTCGAGTTAGGTCAATTTAATGCTCGAGGTTACCACTGGCTATACATAGGTACTGCAGTCGACAAATTATTAGTCAGCGGAGTAAAAAGGTATCGATCCTTCGCTCGGTGCGGTTCAATTCGTTACAGTTAACGCTGTTCGAGGTCGAAAACCGTATCGAAAAGAAAAATATCGCCAACAACACGCTGATAAGGTATCGACATGTCCCCGGATCTCTGGTGAAGCTGCGCTAACGAAACATTAAGAATATTTTTATTCCGTCTCGCAGATCCAAAATCTTCGAACGGTACGTAAACACTAACTGTCGTAAATTTATTCGTTCGAGAAGCGTTTCTTGCACCTTGCGGTACGAAAACATCGCCAAAAAGATATTTTACTGATAAGGTGCTGCTTATCAAAGCCAGCGTCGTAAAACTATCGCGAATTAACCGACAGTAATACGTACGTGGAAGCCGTAAACGTTCTTCCGAATTAACGAAACGGTAACTAATAATTACGTCGAAAATCGTTGGGCGATAACGAAGCTCCACGACGCTTATTGTATAATTGAGACGCGCAAAACGAAACCGATTACATTTATTTCGAAATACATTCGTGTGCCGTTCTCCGATGACGAGACTTTGTAACTGCACGCTTTTATTTGCTGACTCGGTGGAAATTTTGATTTGTTGACAATCGTCAGCGATTCTCTTCTGCTGTCCTTGTTTGTAAATAGGCCGCGAATTCGAAATTTTTGTTTACACGATCTCCATTTGTCTCTTTCTCGATAACGGTCACCTTATCTTTTCGAATATTCTACATAATTCGAATGATTGATCAGAAACGCGAGCTTAACGTAAAATTGGGATCTGTAATAACATTTGTATCGTGAAATTACGTTACAGGACATTTTGATTACGTCACAGGAGGTATAATCAGCGACAGTTCGTAGATTAGGTACTGACGACGATGTCAATTTTTTGTATAAGCATGTTTTGGAAAACATGTCGGTCAAGTTTAGTCAAAATCAGTGGGTTTTAATAGTCAGAAAAGAGGCTACTAAAAGATTAAGGGAATGATAAAAATTTTGGACCTTGGAATTTTGAAACTGGGTTTTTGTTTTTCTTAGTACGACAAATATTTAGGGATAGTTTGTCGAGTGCTTTGTTCTTTCACTTCAATTTACATACTAATCAGTATATGTACCTCTTCATGATACATACAAGAAAGTGATAGTGGCGAACCGAATCGAAAAGGATTTAGCATCGGTTTTCTGTGTGTAAGTCGAACAAGGTGTTAAATCAAGCGTCGAGAGTTGTACGCTGTGTCGATAGCTCTGAAACAACGCCTCGTCGATAGCACGGAACAACGACCGCGTTTTCTAGTCGAGAATTATTCGACGATAATTCGAATTCCGTGTCTTGTAATAGAGACTGTCTCTATCGGATCGATACGCTCGATCGGACGTCGGAATAAATCCGAAGAAAATACGACGCATCGACGGGGAACAATCGATTCGGGGGATATCGATTTTTCTCGGATAGCTTGGAAGATCGATCGATGGACAATGAGCGTGACGAAGCGGGGCTCGGACTTGTACCGACCGCTTTTAAGATGGAAATATTCTCAGCCGCGTTTTCTCTACGAACGCTACCGTCCCGAGGAACTTTCGAATATGCAAATTCTCTCCTTTTACCGGTTTCCATTTTTTCATATCGCTCGTTACGTAACGTTATTAAAAGTGATCTTACACGCCAGGCTAATTGCACGATGCGATTGAAACAAACAACTAAGCTGGGCGGAGCATCGTGAAATCGAATTATCCGTCGATGAATTATAGCGTGAAACGGGAGTACGAGATAGTTTCCTCCAAGAGAATCTTTCCATTAGATTTCTTTTTCAGACGATCGTTGCAGCTGAAGATGAATGCACCAAGATACTGCGCGATATCGTATCGCTTTTCAAAAGATAACGTTCGAAAAATATATCTTGGATTCAGAATTTTCCCCCTCAAAATGGTTCCTCGAATTTCAATCGTTTAGCGACAAGAGCGCGGAACGGAATCGCTCGTTCTGCCGCGTTCCCATGAAACACGCTAGATTAACTCTTTTGACGAGCTGCTCGAAAATCGTTGCCGGTTCGTGCATCTACTACTTTTACTTTACAAATCGACATTGGCAACAGCCGAGGTTTACTGGTTCGTCGTTGGAGCAGTGTCGGTATTAAACCCGTGAGAAAGTCATTCCAGAAACATTTCCGACTCTAACGAGAACAATCATCAACGTTCGTTACAAGAAAAAATAACGCTTATTCTTTAGAACTTTCGGTCGATTAAAACTGTTTAACAATTTAGTACGCATGGTTAAAATTTTGGTTATAAATTAGGAAAGAATTCTGAAACATTTTAGGGACGTGTGTGTATCATAGGATGTGGAACGTTGGCGCCGTCTTTGGGGAACGGTTTTAGGTTTTAACTACGTTAGGGCATAATTTAGTCCGTGTTTCAACACGTGTTCCACATCCCCAGGAAAGTTAAGCAACGACGAAAAAGAAAACGGTCCAAGATGATCTCTTTTTAAAATTCAACCATAATAACGTTAAAATTCTTATACGGTAAAGCAGATTCGACAATCAGTCGATGAATTGAAAACTAATCGATCTTTGCAGCAATTCAAGAACAATTGCTTTTCCAATATCGACTCGCTTACGAGAGAAGTTGGATCATGAAAATTAATGATCTGCCTGTTATAGCATATTAATTATATAGGACGGATATCTATATACTGTCTGTCATAGAAAGTATAGACTTGGATAAAATGTATGGCAAGATTGTATACCGTTGTGGGAAACAATGAATACACTGTGTAGAAGCCACAGTTATCCGTACATGTTGACACGAGCAATGACGCTATAAAGACGGAGCGTTTAGCGTTAATTGTATAGAATCAAAGATGATTTACACGGCTATATATTCGAATATACACACAGATAACTTATCGCGCTGACAAATAGTAGTTACGTCGATCGTGCAAGTTGTGTCGTTATCCTCCCAAGTTTATCCTGCGAATAAAAGTTTCGGAACAAACAATCGCACGTTGTACTGCCACGCGTTGGATCTCCACGTGTTGGAATATCGCTCGTTACATTTCTACGAGACAGAACTTTTACGGGTGATATCTCTACGCGTTTTGTGTGCGCGTTAACCCCTTCCCGTGCTTTGACGAGTCTTATTCGTGACGCACTCACAACTCAAATGTGATTAATATTACTCAAATTTTGAATACTCTTCGACTTGAATTTTAGATCCAACTATAATTTGCGTTGTCAAGGATCCCTGAATATAAAATACTTAGAACATTTTAATTTTCTTTGTTCGTTTTAATGTTATAGTCCTGAATGGTTAGTCTTGACTGACGCACCTCATAAATAAATGCCACAAGTTATAGGCTTTCCATACCTTAGATCTACACGTTATATCGCAACGTGTCTTTCTGTCGAATGTTATATCAACACATGGCAGTAAAGAACCCTCCGAAAATGTGATCAAACCTAACTCAGTCAGTTGACGGTAGAGTAATGTCATTCTGAAACGTTTCTTTTCAGCACGAGGCAAAAAGTGCATCGAAAATTGTAGAGGAAAGAAGCGGAGGTAACGGAAGAGCGAACGAAGGGAGAGAAAAATGCTGAAAGGAGGCACGGCTGTTCGCCCTTGAATATTTAACAATCTCTTTTCACGAGGGAAAGCGTATTCCCACGATGTGCCAAGGGCTTTACTCGTACACAAGTGTATTACGTCGCTTGCTTTTCAACTTAAACGAGCTCCTGCTGCCACGATGGAACTGCAGCTGATTAGATTAGATAGCGCTGGCGTAGAACACAGTATCAAAAAACTCTACCTGTCAGAAGAGAAGAAAAAATGAACGGGATGTCTCGATAACGCCGACGTTTATTAACGTCAAGGATTTGCGTCGATATCGTTTCAAGTTTACTGCTTCACCGAGAGTTGCATAACGCTCGATTTGTTTTCCTCTCCGGTTCGAAAGGGAAACGCGAGGGAAACTTATTTTCTCACGACCGACTACGATTACCTACTTGTTTTGGAGTAACGCGTTCATTTTGTGTGAACTTTTTTGTATTCTTATATTCGGTATGCGGTTTTACGGTAATTTTTCGTGCTCGTTCGTTAGAAAAATATCGTGTAGCGTGGGTGTTGTTTTATGCGACTTAAAAACGTCGAGGAGATGGAACACTTGCATAAGTATTAATTGTTTGCAGTCGCGCACGCAAGGTAGAGGGACTTTGAAAAATTCGCTTACTTTGTGATTTCGTGGCGTCCTCGAGAGGTTGCTGCGTCCATTGATGAGAACGTTGTCGTTGAAAAACGACACATCGCAGGGCGAAGGTGGACCACCTGTAAGCTCCCATTCGGCGTCGTCGGTTGTGGACGCGTCCAACGTGGCATCCAACACTATGATGCCGCCGTCACCAACCTGGAAATAAAAAAAGAAACGAGCGTGAAAATCTCGAAACAGGGAATAGCAACGTGTTTATGTTTTCAAATAAAAATTCGAGTATCTAAAAAAAAACCTAGAGATAAGAAAATCGTCGAGAGCTTATCCTTATCGAAGAGGATCGAGCCAGAATAATCTGAAGGTTAAAGAACGATTCCAGATTAGCGCCGTATAACTTTCTCGACGCGTTTTCTTTGGACTTTCAATGCCGGATAACGCTGCACGGGACGACGCGTGTCTCGTTCAGGTTATTCATCGACATCCGCCGCCTTTCAATTATTTCGTGAATGAACATCCTGTCTGTCGATTTGGAAACCATGTTGAATGAAGAGGTACACGAACGCATCTCGTTGACACGCATCGCGATGTCCTTGGTATTCAATACATTTCCGGTCTAACGCGTTTCTGTCTTAAGCAAGGTGAATATGTATTCGAAAAAAATGTCGGAATACCTTTTATATACAGTGTTCATTCCATATAAGCAAAAATGTCCTTTCCGATATAAGCACAAATGTTATCCCCACCACTGGGGGGAAGACCCCTCGAGACGCCCGAGGTTCGCTCGCCGGGAAATGTAACGTGACCCGGGTATTAGTGTATCCGTGAGACAATACCAATGCAAATATAAAACTTTTTTATTTTTGACTTTTTCGTTATCAAACTTTTACCAATTAATTCTTGACATTTTTCCGATTAAAATGAGACCAAACACGACATAATTTAGACTATATTTACTGGTTTAATTGACGATAAAAGTTTCTCACGTCGAAGAGGATAGCGAGTCAAAAAGAAAGAGACGCTACGATCGTGGCAGTCGGCAAAGATCAAAAGTCTGTTCGATTGTTTGCAATACTTGAGCATTGCTAATTTTTTTATTTTCCATCCATTTCTTTATATAACTTTCTCCATCATATTCGCGACATTTTTCTGATTAAAATGAGACCAAACATGACGTAATTTGAGTTATATTTACTTCCAATATCTTATTAGAGTAAAATCATCGATGTACGCGTAACACTTGAAATTACAAGTAAATATGTCCCGAAGTATGTCGTGTTTGGTCTCATTTTAATGAGAAAAATGTTACAAATATGATGGAAAAAATTTAAACAAAAAAAAATAAAAAATAAAAAAGTTTTATTTTTGCATTAGGAGTGTCCTTCTAGTAGGTCACTGTTTGTTTACGTTCGGTCTCCATCGCTCGAAATGTAGCACCTTTACGATATACGCAAACGGCGACCGTGATATTTTTCTCTTCTGTCCTTTTCTACGTTCGGCAAGACATCAATCAATGTAGGACCTGTACGATATAAGCACAACTTCACTCCCGAAAGATTTGCTTATATAGAATATCCACTGTATACTTAAAAGTAAAGATATTTTGATATTTTTAACATTAATTTTCCAGCGCGATAAGCTGTTGCATATTAACTAACTACTTTCGAAATGTAGAAAGTCTGACATAATTTCGTGACATAAAATCGTTGCACGATGGCACTCGTCGCATATAAATTTAATGCTTAAAATTTCACGGAAATGGCATAAACGTTTCGTGGAGATCTCGAACATTAGTTATCGTTAACCATAAAGCAATTCCTAAAAAATTCTGAAATTGAAAGAAATTAAGGAAAAAATCGCAGCAGAGTGAAAGGTCGGGAAGCTAATCGAGACCCAGAAAAAATTGTGCACCGGATAATCGGAAGGATACTTCTCGAACGAATTTCTCTTAGCCGCGGCCGTTCGATGAATAATCTCGCTTCAAGTCGGACGGTCGTTCGATTTCCGGTCCACTTCCGGCGTCGAGGCGAGATTTTCGAGAAAGCGTCTCAAAAATCATCCGCGACAATGATTTCCTACGGCAGCCACCGAGAATTCGGGTTGAACGGTGACTGAAGGAAAAATGCGGTCACGGATCATAACGCGAAGCCGCATTACGGACGAGCAGAGATCGGGGCCGTGTAACGCAATATCTGGATTTGAATATAACGTGCCGCGGATGCACTGGCACGAGAAGATATCGATCACTAGCCCTACGTTGTTATCGATCGCCGGATGATGGACGAAAAGACAAGGGAATTTTTTATTTCTAGCTTTTCGATTACGACGTCTCGAAAAGAAAAATTTCCGCGAAGCCACGATGTTTCTTTCGCGGTACGGTTTATCGATCGCGATTTGTTTCGGCACTTCGATTCAACCGCGAGTAAAGAAATTAAAAATATCGACGACGTTCGTTTCGATCGAACATTGCAAAGATAATTTACGAGCGAGCGTTATCACCGAGAAGGATAACGCGTGTTCATAGATAGCGTCGTAATAAGAAAGTATAACTCGGTATCTCGTGCAGTATAGTATCTCTTTCTTCCATCCGACATATTATGCAAGCGATTTCACGAGATAAGAGAGCATCATGAGAAAAGAAATTTTGTTCTCGTGTTTACCATGCAATTTCGCGTAACACAGTGGACAGCTAACGAGTGGATTAACTTCCAAGCAAGTCCGTAATATCTCTAGTTAATTCTTCCATCAACAACCTTTCGAATTTACGAGCTCTGCTGAACAGATAATTTATCACCAAAGTGTTCTCTTTTTGCTTGGACGTTTCCGAAACACCGTCGTTTCTCTTTAGTGCGAAGTTTGCTCCGATTAAAAATATCGGAGAGTCGTATATCCGTGACGCGACCGATAAACGTAAAAGATAGGAACGGCAATGAACTTAAGGACAAGGTCCTTGACTTCATGAGAAATTCCCAGCACTTTTCTTTCCATTATTCCGAGCACCACTAGGGTATCACCTTCACGAGGTAGACCTTGAACCCTCGAAGACGCTCCCCTAACGATTGCGAGCGAATGCACCTGCAGACCCGCGTGCATCCATCCATCGCCATCTGCTAACCGCGTGTCTCGGAACTTTTTCGCTAACGCCTTAATTTCCATAGAATAACGTTCGCATTCGGATATTTCGATTCGAAAGTGAGAAATTCTCTTTGTTTCTGAGCTCGGCGTTGTGCGTCATCGGACGCCGCGACACGTG